AAGAGCCTCGATCTTTCAAGCAACAACATGGTGGGAGAAATCCCTATTGAAATTACATCTCTTGTAGGTTTGCACGGTTTGAACCTGTCGAGCAACAACTTAACGGGCAGCATCCCTCTGAGGATTGGTGAAATGAAGGCACTGAATTTCCTAGACTTAAGTACAAATGATCTTACAGGGGAAATTCCTGCTAGCCTTTCACAGTTAAGTCACTTGGGAGTCTTGAACTTGTCTTGCAACAACTTGTCTGGTCGAATCCCTTTAGGCGAACAGTTACTAACTTTCAACAACAGATCCTACATTGGCAATCATGGTCTTTGCGGCTATCCACTAACAGAAGCTTGCTCTCTGGAGGAACTTCCTCGAGACTCAACGTTGAGTGATGAGGACGAGTTTATAACTCCAGAATTTTATATTAGTATGGGAATCAGCTTTATTTCTGCATTTTTGGGAGTCTCAGCTCTGATGTTGAATAGAAGGTGGAGTTATGGTCTACTTAGATACTAGCAAATCAATAATGTAACATCACACAGTTAAATGTAGGTTTACTTACATACCATGATAAGTAGCTATATAATCTCGAGTTCTTGAAACTTTGCATTTGCCTGAATTTTTATTCGATGTGCATTGTACACCACACGAATCAGCTAATCCTCGAATATTTATACTGTACGAGTTGTTTATTTAACCTTTATGTCGTTTTCTCAAGCAAAACCATTCATTTTAAGGAGCACCATAGATCATCTGAGTGCAAGCAAGAGCAAACCTCATCCTCTGCCTCCCATTTGGAACTCAATATTGATAGCTTGAATTACTGATTACATGAAATAATTATAAGATGTATACTTTTTAAATTTGTCTCTTTTTATCTGTAATTTAAATTTTTTGTTATAATTTTATTTGTTTCTATTATTTTAAATTCTTTTTATTTTTATTTCTCATTATATATTATTTATTATTATATTTCATTTTCTTGTCATTCTCACACTATATTTTTATGCTATTTTTCGTCTTATCTATTTCATTTATTTATGTATTCCGTCTTTGTTTTTTCATTAACATAATTTTGTTAATATTTTTATTTTTATATTGAAGTAGAGTTTCTTGTTGAATAACATTATAGATTTGTCTTTTAAATCATATTTATATAGGTTACGTTGAAATTTGACATAAGAGTATTACGTTAGGATTTTTATTTTGAATTATAAACTTTTGTTATATTTTCAATCTCATTTGTTTTAGTAGAATTGACTTGATATTTCACAATGTAAGTCATTTATTTTTTTAGTTAGACTTAATAACTTGTTTCTTTATCAAATATTTTCATAATTTGTGACATTATATTTATAATATTAATCTTTTTGTCTAACATGTATTTTATAATGCATGTAGAAATTTCGTACTTTTAACTTTTATTATTAATTTGATTAATATATACTATATTTAAAAAACATAAATTTTTTGTTGTAATATTAATTAAGAATATATGTTTATTGACGAAAATATTTTCAAAAGATAATATATATTTTAATTATTTAATTTGAAATCATATATAAAATCTCTTATTTAATAGTTTAACCTTATAATTATAGTTGTGTAACAAAACAATATATTAAAAAGTAATTACTATTTTCTAGTACTCCCTCCGTCCTCAATTGTTTGTCAGGATAAAATCATATATTTTCCTCAAAACAAAATTTAATACGAAGTGTAATTTGATTAATATAACCCTACTATATTAAGAATATTAAAAGTTTACATAATTTTTCAACTAAACAAAATGAAATAATTATTAAGGACAAAAAAAAACTAATTATTTCTTGATTGTTTAAATTGACAATTAATCTTCGCATCTATTTTCAGTTTGGTTGAGATTCTCATATTAAATTTCTTGGTTTTAATTCTATCAAATTGATTCCTTTTGAATAATTATACGATGTGCCATTTTGAGAGACTAAAATAAATTGTTCCTTTGCTATGTATTTTCATGAGTTTTGTCACGATCCAAAAATGGGCGTGATGACACTCGTCTTATCCCACCAAGACAAGTCAGCCTAAAACTCAACCATTACAATAAAGTGCGGAAGTAAAATATAAGTAACTTAATAAAAAACCCAAAACCTGGTAGTCACGTGTACAAACCTCTAAAGTATTACAATTGATTCAAAAGAAAACTCAAGTCTCAAATGAAGTTGTTTCTAGAATAGAACAAGATCATAATTAAGGAGAAGAAAGTCTGCTGCGATGGAAACAGCCACCTGACAAATCTCCAGGAAGCCTCGGAAAAGAAGAGAATGACAAGTACAACAAAAATCCAGGCTCATAACCTACAAAAATTTGTAGAAGCAAGGGGTGAGTACCAAATCACACGGTACTCAGCAAGTAAACCTCTAAATACAAGCTAAGGGTATGAAATATGGGTACTCCTACCACCCCCAACCGAACCTCTACAACTACAACCTGCATTAAAAATCAACCCAACCTAACAACTCATAGTTTACATAGCACGTAGCTCAACAACACTTAGACAAATTAAATATCCTCAACAACAACACTTCAACAAATTACATATCCGCAATAACAAGCTCAACATTGATCAATCACAAGTTCCATAGAAAGGTAATCAGAAGATCAACAAAACACGATATCAAGTTCACTAATGATAAATATGTGCAATGCAATGGAATACAATGTCAAGTATAATGATGCATGCCTGACCTAGTGATACACACCCGCTGTCTCTCAGTCCGGGACCCATGGGGGACATATCTGTCCATGCATCTGTCGCGGCGCACGACACGACCCTCGATAATAGTAACCATCGTGGCGCGCGATACGTCCCTCGAAATATAGTATCCATCGCGGCGCGCGATACGTCCCTCGAAATGGTACATCCTCTTAAGTACCCATTCTATCTCAATGCACATAACACTTGTCACAACCAATGCCTCAGAATAATGCAGATGAGAATTTCACACAAATAATGAGGAGATGATTATTTTCATAACGTCGCACAGTTCACAACCACACAAACATGAAGTTACATCAACAATGATTCAACAAGTCTTCAACCCTTTCTCAACACATCACACGTAAACAATTAAGCACATTGCCTTTTGTTATCCCTTTTTTTCATCATTAGAATTAACCAGTGTGGACAAGTCAACCCATCACCAATCCCGTTACTCCCAAACATATACCACAAGGAAATACACACATTTCATACACTTAACAAGAATTTAGAAATCCACTTGCCTCAAACAATCGAACAATCACCCCGGGACTTGAGCCTTCCCGTTTCGCTGAGCTTCCAAATTAATACCATCTATTCAAGTGAATATGCACAATAAGGTTTTGGAACTAAAAAACACCTATATAATTATGTGTCTAGTCTTGACCCAAAAACTCGCTATATACAAAGTTTAGTACTTAGTAGTTGATCTTGATGGAATGGTCTTGAGGATGAGCTCACTTTGAGAGATGAACACCGACTAGTAGGTTATAACTCAAGCTTTTTGTATGTTTGTCATTATTCTTCCTCCTCCTTCTTCTTCTTTATGTTCGAGGACGAACATGATTTTTAGTGGTGGATAATGTAATAACCTGTCATATCAATTTTTGAAATTTTTTTTTGATATGACAGGTTATTACAAGTTTATCTTGTTGAGTAAAGTATTTCGCTGCTTAGTTTGTCAGGTCCAGAGCTTGCTTGTGGCCATCAATAATTTTCAAGTGTCAATCTTGCAAAAAGTGTAGGTTTGAAGCGTGACAAAAATGAAGGAAATATAAATCTAAGTTATTTATATTAAAAAAATAGACAAAAACCAAATCTAATAAATTTTTGAATACTTAAATTAAATCAGTAAATGCATAGTTAAGAGACTAAAAATAATAAATGCATAATTAAGAAACTAACACTAATAATTTTTTAAATAACTAAATCTAATAAGATAATTTAGAGACTATTTTAAATCTATTCCTATAATTAAAAGACTATTTATATCATTTTCTAGATTTCTAAATATTAGATGGAAGGGAATTGATTTTTTCTTTAAAAGAATCAGGTCACATTCTTTAAAAATGTGTATCTTCAAGACATTTCATTTATGAAAAAGAAAAAGAAAAAGAACGTCTCGTTCGCCATTATTGTCACGATGTTTATAAACTAAACTCCATCGATTCTTAATTATTTGTTTGATTTTTTAAAATTATTTTAATTATTTACCATTTTAACAAATCAAAAAAAGATATTTTTTAAAATTTATTTACTCTCAATTAATTATTTTGAAAAAGATAGAACTTTTTTAAAATCTCAAGTTTTTGATTCATTTACTTCATAATTAATAGGTGAAAAATGGTGAACTCACTATATCTTTCTTAATAAATGTATCAATTCAAAAGTGAATAAGTAATTAGAGACAATGAAAATAGCTGATTAAAAAAAAGATTCCTCCGATTTGAGATTCATCAAGTTGAAAAAAAGAACTGAGTAAAGAGTTAGCTGAGTTTTCACAAGATCATAAAGATAAAAGGGAAAAGGTCTTGATATATTCCTCAATTTTATCATTTAGAAATGACATACCGTGCTATAAAAGTTGGTATTAAAAATGATTCATATATACTCATACTATTATACAAATAACGATATTTATATACCATTTCTAATAGTTTGAAAGTTTAATTGTCATTTCTCACATTTAAGTATGAAAGTAAAAAAATAAAAATAAAAACAAAAATAATTTAGGTATATTTTTAACGCTTACCTCATTAAACTATCATCATTTTGTAAATTTTATACCAAAAATGTCTCAAACTAAAATTTAGTCTATATAGTTTATCCATGTAATTTTAAAGTATAATACATAATATATGCTCTTTAACTAGACTTCAAATCATATGTATATTCTTCAATTTTGGATGTACACAAGTACACATTTAAACTTGTATAAAGTTGAATAAATAGACACATATGTCTTACATGTCATCCTACGTGTAATTTTTTGTTCTATGTGGTGTCTTATATGTATTGTTTTATGTAAGACTCATGTGTTTATTTATTTAAAAGTTGGATAGTTAATAAAAGTTAGAGGCAAAGTTATAATTTAAAACCAAGATTAGGATTATTATGCCTAATTTTAATAAGTCACCCTTGTTTCTAGCCACCAAAACATAAGGAAACTCTAACCAGATGCAGAAGGCTAAGCACAGAAAGTTGAAAAGAACAACAAACCTTACAACTTTTTTTTCCCCATTTGCCAATGGCTTCTTCCGGAGCTTGGACGTATCGAGATCGAACTTCCGAGTTCGCGTCTTTGTCCAAAACATTGAAGAAAATCGCAGGAACTACCGGATCAGATCATGAACCACAGCAGAATTCTGCCTCTTCTACCACAAAGGTACTACAAATTCCAGATCGATCTGAATTCAACAAGAAGGCTTCGAGAATCGGATTGACAATCCATCAAACCTTTCAGAAAATCGATAGGCTAGCTAAATTGGCAAAGCGATCATCAATTTTCGACGATCCAAGCAAGGAAATTCAGGAATTGACAACTTCCATAAAAAATGATATCACATCACTCAATGTTGGAGTTTCTGATTTACAAGCCCTTCAAGACATGGATGTAGCTGATGGAACTCATTCGAAAGATACAATTGTTCATTGTACTGCGATCTGTGATGATCTGAAGACGAGACTTATGGCTGCTACAAAATCATTCCAGGAGGCACTTACAATAAGAACGAAGAATATGAAAGCTCACGAAGATCGAAAACAGATATTCTCTACAAATCTCTCTAGAGAAAATCCTTTGAAACAACCTACAGCAGAGCCACCTCCTTGGTCAACTTGTCAATCATTAACGGCAATAGATGCTCAGGGAAGCAACCAATTAAGACGGAGATTGGCTTCAGACAATCCTCCGTCTAACGAATTGGAAATGTCAATGTTACAAGATCAGGTTCCGAGACAAGAAAGTTACTCTCAGAGTAGAGCAACTGCTCTTCAAAATGTTGAATCGACTATTTCAGAATTGGGCGGAATATTCACACATCTAGCTACCATGGTCGCACAACAAGGTGAGCTTGCTATAAGAATCGACGATAACGTTGATGAGTCATTGACAAATGTTGAAGGTGCACAAGGTGCTTTGTTAAAGTACTTGAATCGAATATCATCAAACAGGTACCTCATGATCAAAATTTTTGTTGTTGTGATCCTTTTTCTCTGTGTATTTATATTTTTTTTGGCCTGATATCGGTGGATATTCACTGTAATTGTTAGCTTATTAGTAATCAAAAATCATTTTTTCTCAATAGCTTGCTCTGAGATGTGTACTTTGCAACTTAGATGCTGGAGTAGCAAATTTCCTCCAGATAAACAGACAAATTATATCGATACATATATATCATAAAAAAACAATTTGTGCAAAGCATAACAGAAAAAAACTCTTTAATTTTTTTATTTTTTTTAATATTATTAGTTAAATCTGATTATATTTTGAATAATTTATAATAGAAATATTTTGTTAAAGATGGTGGCACATACACACCTCAAAAATTAATAATAATTTCTTTTTTATATTTTAGTATTTAAATAATCGATTAGTTAAATAAAATGAAAAATCCAAAGGTATAATGAAAAAAAATTCTAAAGTCCTAAATCGAACATAAAATTAGGTGAAAAATAATAAGCTAAATATTTATAAAATCGATCGATGTATTATTAGACCCTACGTTATTATTAATTCATGCGTTAATAATCTGAGTGTTCGAGTTTAAATTTATACTCCCTTTTTTTTTCCGCAATCTTTAATATTGTGCAAGATAAAATAAAATTATTAAATTCACTACAATCTTAACCGGCATGTCCCACTGTTTTACCAAACTAAACTTAAATTATTGTGCCTATGTTTTCATCTTTCGAGCTCAATTTTAATAGGCATTAGAATTAAATAATTTAAAGAACCAAAGACACAAATTTTAATAAACTAGACCTAAATTATTATGTCTGTGTTGTTATCATCAATGTAATTCTTTTATATAGCAGTCATGATTATCGAATTCTCATCGTATATGAGATAAAAATTATCTCATCACTAAAATAAAAATAATACCTTCAATTAAATATAAAATAAATTAATACACATTTTATCTTTGAAATTATTATAATTTCAAATGACCACAGGAATAAATAAATTAATACCAAGGTAGCACTTCCAATAGCACAAATTCAAACAATTACAAACCCTACCAAAAAAAAAATACAAAAGAGAAATGTTTACAATTCAACACCCAAATTAGCTACAAATCACAAATATAGTAACCAACTCTATCCCAATTCCCAAACCCAAATTCCAAAACCCCTCAAAAATCACAAAATTATAAAGGGAAAAAAAAACAAAGAATAAATCTTTTTCATCTAAATTTTCAAAAAAAAAAATTAAAAAAATCAACTCCTCATGTGTCTGACCTTGTGCCAACCCTTCTTGCAAGATTCTCCAACAATTTTCACTCCCTTTTTGAAAAATGTCTTCAACTCTTTTGCTCTTTCCTTAACTTGTTTCTCAAATCCACCCATTTTTTCACTATCAAAGAGAGGATGAAAAAAAAATCAAAATTTTCAAGAATATATGTTGAACTTGTATTGGTCTCAAAGAAAAATGTGAAAGCTAAGGTTTATATAAAAAAAAGATATTAAAAAAAAAAGTTAGACTTAGTGGAATCCAACGCATCAAATAGATATACACGTTGCGCTGTTCCAGAGGGACCTGGAATCTTCTTATCATTCGGAACGTCCATATTTGTTTTCTATATTAAAAATAATTATTCAATAATATTTATGCAATTTGAAAAATAATTTATCAATTTAAGTTTATAGTTATATTTTTAATGTATTAAATTTAATAAGTAATATAATATTGGATTTTTTTTTCTTTAAAAAGTAATGTTTCTTGAAGCAACGGGTGGGAAGTGGGCCTTCTGCTTCTAGTATATTCCATTGACAGCTTCAACGCATTAAAAGTGAAGACAAATTTCTTCAAAAGATTTTAAACTTTTAAAGAGTAATGATTCCTTTTGAATCAAATCTCACCTGGCAAATGCTCAATAACAACTATACTTCTTTTTAACATAATCATATTTCCATGTTCATACAGAATTTTGAGATAATGAACGCACTATTACGAAAAAAATTAAAGTTCAAGAAGAGAAATTCATTATCAACAACTCATGATGTATATGTTATTAGTAAAGTTAAAGCATTGTATAATGAATGAATTACAATACAAGACTTTAAGTTTCCACTCCAGCAATAAGAGCATCCAAGGATTAAACCTATGATGAATAACTGTATGAAATTTTCAGCAGAAAAGTGAGCTGCACTGAAAACTACTGAGCTAACAATCACTGCTTCTTGCCATTTCATTGTGGAGGAAAGCGCGGTTAAGAAGACACCTCTGTAGACGATTTCTTCTAGCAAAGGGGTGACGATACAGTAGACTAGAATGCATGATGTTGTCGATATTGGACCACTTGAAAGAATTTCCTTCAAGATTGGATTGTTAACTTCCTGCAAAGTTCATGAATAATATTCACTTTCTCACACCATACAGCGAGACTACGATGAAGATAGACGAGAAAATGCATCTGTAAATGCACATTTACTTTATCTCCCACGATACTTCTAGATTGAACAAGTTTAAAATGCAAATAACTCGATCAATAACATACACACTCAAAATCTACCAACTTGTCTGGTGCTTTAGTTTTGCATGCTTCTAAGCTAAAACATATGTTTCAGCTACAAATGTAAACTTTTCAACAATCAAATTGATATTGCAGCTGAAAAAGGAAATGGAAACAGCTTACCTTAGTACCAACCAACGTGTCAGCGATAATTGATGTTATGAAAACTAAAACAACCAAGAACACAAAGCCAAGAGCTGACGCAAGTAACCAGTTCCTTTCACTGGTTGATTGCTTCTCTTGAAAGAAATCACGAAGCTTGTATTGGGGATTACCCGTACATCTTAAAAGAAGCAGAACCACAATAAGCTCTAACATCTGAAGTACAACTAAGGATAATGCCTGTGGTGAAAAACAAGCAACAGTACCATCAAATTGATTAAAATCACAAGTTAGCGGACTATTTTCTAGTTGAGAATTTAGACGTTTCAAATGCTACTACCCGAGTGCGATATGTTTCCCTTCTGAGTTCAACAAAAATTGATTCGATGGAATTAATTTATAAGAGTGAAAACTTCTGTGCCCAACAAGGAAACGAAAGACGCGTGATTTTTTTACTTTGAGTCGGCCAGTCACAAGAAGCAACAAACACGAGAAATTATGTGTATTAAGTTGATCACAATTCATCAAACTAGCTCACAGCAGTAGAATAATTACAGTTTATAATGTTACATAGAAATCTTACTCACCTCGGTCTGTGGATCAAGAACTGAACGATGCAGTATGCTGGTAATAGCAGACAAGCCACCAAAACTTAAAGGAACATGCACACTGAATAGGTAGAAAGCCATGCTGCTCCACAAACTTCCCCTATCACAAGGAGTATCTGATTTAAGGACCGAGAATCCCTATTACGTTGAAAAATGTACACTTATATTTCTGAATGAAAATATTGCACAAATTTTGAAATAGAAACTGAGTACAAGATCTGCTTATTACCAACCATTTCGTGACTATCCATTCCATGTTGATTAATCAGTGGAAATAGTTTAATCTTATGGAAATAGTTTAATCTTATAAATACAAGTAGCTATTTTCAAGAAAGTTTGGCTGGGTTTTGAACCACGTTACCCCACTCATTGGTGCTTCCTTTTTCAACTTGATTCAATTTATTAGTTACACAAAAGAATCTATTAGTACACTGAATGACTGAAAAGCTCACAACATCCTATGTCCACATCATGGAGTACTGAGGATCGATCTATCTGCTTAAGATATTTCCTGCAGGTTAAGTCTCTCGAAAAATTGATATGGATGGTTCCTGGATTATTTTGCTCATGCCTCAATTAACCACCTGGCAGACTATCTAGTCAACAAGCATAGGCCTTCCAGGGTGATCCCGTCCACCAAAGAGAGAAAATGGATTGATATCAAGTGTTGTAACTAGGATTAAGATCTGAGACCTCTTTTCTCCCGTGCCTCAAACACTAGCCCATACCTTTTGGCTTAAGACTTTAACTACCTCATCTTCTCATATCACTGCTGCTCATTCCCTTTAGGACGAAGTGTTTGGTACAAATTCTCCATAGGAAGTTAGAACCCCAAGTAGCCCGCTTTTATGTAGGCATAGAGTTTGGTCCAGCCCTTTAATCAACAATGACTAACTATTACATGTCAAACTGTTCAAGTTTTGGGCAGCTACATTAAAACAAGTTCCGCTCCAAACTAACTAGTAACCACCTTTTTCATCTCCCCGTTGAGGCAGATTTAGCTGTTTTCGGTGGATTCAACTGAACCTATTGCTTTCAGCTTAGACCATATAAACACGTGCAAAAAGAATGTATATCTTTTTTTAAGAAAAAAAAAACAAACACCACTCTGAAACTAAGACTCTACATCCTCGATTCGCCTCTACTCCACTAGTTTTCACTACTATTTCATCTAAGATTTCAAATTCAACACCCTACACACCAATTTAGCTTCAAAATTAGTCAAATTAACTCTCATAATAAAAAAATGTCACATAAATTGGACCGTAGAGTGCAGAGTATTATACTGAAATTCAGAACATACTACCAAAAAAAACGTTCCTCTGTTTATACCAATCATTCATTTCAATCAATTTTCTTTTGCGCCATGCCAAAATACAGGGGAAAGGGGAGTTACCTCGGGGACAATTTGTGTGTCCTTATTTTTTATGCAATTGCATTTGGGATAAGATGTTGATCGGAAGAACTTGGAAGGGTAGAAATGATTGTGAAAATGTTGAGTAAATTTCAGGGATGACAGACAAATTGCAGGTCCACGGAGAAGTAACCCATTCATATTTCGCTTAATTTCACTTCCGGCAACACTTTGAGCTCAGTGTGAGGGTAGAGATTTGGCGGTGTTTGGATTAGGCCGGAGAATGAGTGTCAAATGCTTGTCGGTGTCGGGTAGCCCACCAAATTCATCTTCATATTTGAACAAAACTATGCAATATCCCGATAATATCACAGAAAACTAGTTTTTAACTCAAAAAAATAAAAAATTAAATTGAAATGATGTTAACTCAAAAAATAATAATTTAAAGTATCAAGGTCTACTTTCGATTTTTAAATTGTTTTAAGTTATTTTTAACCTTAATTCAAATATCTTCTTGAAGCGACGAGATACATGCTTTATATCATAAGCATATTATTATATTTCATTTTATAAAAATCTATTAATGCACGTT